GGAAATAATTATGCATAAAATGGACTCAGGACAAGGTGCGTTCCTATAAGTCTTCCTACCAATATGACCAGGTTGCGAAAACAAGGTCAAACAACTTCTATACAATAGAAGGAGACTGCGACCACAAAAAAATACCACACCATCTTGGTCTTCATACTTTCAATACTCTTCAAAGTTGCATCAAATATTTTATAATAAGGAAACAGACTACTCAAGTAGTATGCTTAATTTAAGTTAAAAATCGAAAAGTTTTCAAATAACTTGCGCATATATACTTCTTTTCCGCAGATTTTATTTCTCCAGGTTGATTGAAACCTAGGTCAGTACAATATATTACTTTAGTATTAAATAGGCAATATAAGCTTTATGCTTAGTAATTGGTTTGTCTCATAATTTAGGTTAAGTAAATTACGCGAAGAAAAGTTGGGTTTCGAGGATTCTCTTATTTCATAATTATTAAATTTACTTAAATTTCGAGTGAAAATGTTTGGTGAAGAGATTCGAAGGTCGATTCCACCAGCTGACGGGGGATTACTCGTGGCTTTACTGGAACATTCATGATGTCGGTGTTTCCAAGGTAATCTACTTCGATTTAGGTTAAAAGGTGTGAAGCTTTCGGCCGTCCTATGACGAAATGTACTTCCTATTCGGTATATTTCGATGGCTTCTATACTATTACGTTTAGTTGCAGATATGCCATAATCAGCAAAACATCATCAAAACAAGGTATCATACAACCAAATTCAAGCCAACGAGTCAAGAAAACTCACTGGCAAATCCCTAAAAAGCGGTATATATATTCTATATCTGGCCTCCTTTGATTAGGTATAAAGTGAGTGGGGAAGTGGTGAATAAAAATGGTTTTCAGGGAAATTACTTTAGAGAAAATTGACCCATTATCCAGATCTGGTTGCTAAAAAATAATGTGTTAATGTAGTCGCTTTTATGTTGGAAAGACTTGTCGTCCCATTCGACAAAGGGCGACAAGTCTCAAACTTGTCGTTTTGCTGATTATGATATGCTTGCGGCTAAACGTAGAATTAGAAAAGCTCTAGAAATAAACCGAATAGGAAATACATTGAATGTAAGGAATACTGATAAGATAAGTAAAAATTATTTGTGCTTAATTACTAGACTGAAGGATAGAGATGGAGTTGAGCCATCCGCAAAACGGAGGCGATGCAACTATTCCTTTCTTGTCTTGGTTCTAATCATAGTCACTTCTCTGTACTTTTAGCTCACTTTTTCTCTCCCGCATTGAGACCAAAAATAAAAAAAGGCTCACCAACAAAACCAAACGTGTGTCCGACCTTGTGCAATCGGAGTGATGGTTATAACATGTATGTAGAAAGGGGAGATAGGGGTCATCAAGCTTTGATGGCCGAAAACAGACGTTACTTTTTGCTGTCCTAATTACTTTGAGCCATCACTACGGGTTTCTTCCATAAGTGAACACAAGCAGGCACATACATATACAGAGACAGACACACTTACATACTTCGAAGTTGATATATGACCGTAACTAACCAAATCAAAGAGGCCAGATGTAGAGTATATATACCACTTTTTAGGGGATTGCCGGTGAGTTTTCTTGACTCGTTAGCTTGAATTTGGTTGTGACGATGATACATTGCTTTGATGCTGTTT